ATTGCCAATTTTGGATTTTCAGGACACCACATAACAGGATTCAGGACAAGTATTTTAGGCTGCCGCAAGATGCATAATACGCACGAAACAGACAGAGAAATATGAACCGACAGTCGTCAATCGGACGGTGATCAACGAAATCTTATCGCTGATATAATATTATCGCCAGATACCAAAGTTACTTAATCTAATCTTAAAACATATTATTACTTATTGGACAATTAGAAACTATATAAATGAAATATAAAACATATTTGAATGGTCTAGTATCTAACCATAAAGATACTAGATACAAGTCAAGATTTAAATACCGAGGTAATACATCAAAATTATGTATCTCGATACAAGATACAAGATACAATTGTATCTAAGATACGTATCTTAAATATTAGTATCTAAGATAGTGCCCAGCTCTGTGTGTAGGTCATTAATTATATTCTAATATTAAATTATAATTTAGAATAATCGTGGGTCATTGGGTAAACAAATACATACAATAAATTTTATTAAAGTAAGTAATTTTATTTAAGTAAAGTACTTAAGTACAACTATTCATTTTAATATACATTTATTTAAAACCAAAATTATTAAATAAATTACTATATAGTTTGTTAGCTTTAAAAAAAGGTATAGGTGATTTTTAATTTTATACGAAAAAAAAAATAAGAGATTTTAACTAAGTAACTTTAAACTTAATTTACATAGTAACATTTTTCTATATTAACTTCACTTAACGAGTTAACTTCCCCAGCCTTGTAAAAATGTATTTAAAATACTAATCAATACCAATTTATTAAATTACTTTTTTATAAAATAATCTTTAACATAAAAATAACTGTAAAATAAAATCACAATTAGTAATAATTATATGTAGTATAAATACATTTTAAAAAATGTAATAAAAATATTATTTAAAAGTAACTATATAATTAAAATTTAAAATTTTTTTTATTATTAGAAAATATTTTAATATATAAACAATGTGACAATGTAATACAAATTGCTCTTCAGTCGTTGTAATGCCTTTAATCGCATACCTTTGGGAGGATATCGTGATATGTGTATGTGATGATAAACTCGGTACGTCGTTTAGACCAGTGGTTCTCAACCTTTCTTGTACGACGGCACCTTAATTTAGATCCACAAAAATGGCGACACACTTAAAAAATTTTTTATGGATTTTTGAAAAAGTAAAAATTACAAATCTATGTAAATTAATACATTTAAGTTCATGTTAGCATTTTATTTGAAAAAAAAACAAATCTTTTAAATTTACATAATTAAAATATAAACAATTTAAATTAGGTATTAAAAAAATATTATTATAAAAACAGTGTTAGTTTATAATGGAAATTAGTGCGATACTTGTGATTGGCGAATTGAACATAGGTCTTCGATTCGTGGGCGAATTGTTGACAAACTTACGCGTAATTCACTTTCAATATCTTTAAGCGTTGACCTTTTTTTGGATTTTGTTACTTCTAATATCGAAAATGCTGATTCACACATATATGATGTTGAAAAAGGAAGCAAAATTTGCAACGCTATTTTGCTCACTTCTGGGTATTCATTTTGCAAAGAAATCCAAAATGAATCATTTTCAGACATATAAAATTTAGATTTTAACGTGGTATCTGATGATATTTCTAGTAGTTGTTCTTATTCCGTAGAAGATAAGTTTGCATTTTTAATATTTTCTTCTCCACATGGACCATATAATGAAACCACCCACTGTATTTCAGTTGTTAGAAGTGATGGAAAATAACCCTTTAAATTTCGAGAAAGTGTCAATAAATGTTCGTGCATTATATTTTTTAATTCCGTTTTTTGATTTATGCTTAAATGGATTTTTGATTCCTCAACTGAAGAAAAGCATGAAAAATCATCATTTTTTATGCATGATAACCATAAATTAATTTTTTTTTTGAAACTTTCCATTTTATCACTTGTAGAAATTATATTTTCTTTACAACCTTGCATACTCGAATTTAAAACATTTAGTTTTTGAAAAATATCAGCAAGGTAAGCTAATTTAGCACACCACATTTGATCATCAATTTTATTTGCATAATTATTTATGTTTTCAGCTTCAAAAAAAATTTGTAATTGATCTTGAAGTTCCAATACACGATTTAATATTTTACCCCTTGAAAGCCCACGTATTTCAGTATGATACAACAAATTAGTGTGTTCTGTACCGATATTTTTACATAATTCTTCAAATATTCTACATTTTACTGGTCGTTTTTTAATATAGTTAATCATTTCAATGACAGTTTTGAGAACATCACTTAATTCTCCCCCATCCGAACTTTTTACCATAAGAGCTTCACGGTGTAAAAAACAGTGAATTGTTATTAAATTAGGTTTTTTATTTTTCGCGAGAGTTAGAAATCCTTTAAATCGGCCAGTCATCGCCGCTGCACCATCTGTGCAAATTGAAATGCAGTTCAACCATACCATATTATTTTCTTCGAAATAATTATTAACAGCATTGAAAATATCGACTCCAGTTGTTGTAGTTTGCAATTCACGGCAAAATAAAAATTGTTCAATTATTTTTTTTCCATTGACAAATCGTATGAAAGAAATTAATTGAGATTTACCAGAAACATCGGTACTTTCATCAAGTTGTAATGCGAATTCTGTATCTTTTTGTAATATCTCATTTACATTTTTTACAATATCCTCCGACATTGTTATTATTCTTCGACGAACAGTATCATTTGACAGTGGTATGTTTGAAATTTGTTCAGCTGCTTCTTTACCAAACATTACATCAACAATTTCTTTACAAGCTGGTAAAATCAATTCTTCTCCGATGGTATGTGGCTTTTTTTTCTTTGCAATTAACTCAGAAATTTTAAAAGAACATAAAAGAGATTTATCAGATATTTTTAAACGTTTTTCCATGAACGTTGAATTTTTTTTTTGTGATGACAATAAACGCGTAAAATAGTCAGAACTTTTTTTACTAATATGACTATGATTTTGCTCTAAATGTCTTTTTAATTTTTTTGGTACCATAGACTCGTTTGATAAAGTTACGCCACATACAATACACTGAGGTATTTGATTATTATCATCACCAGTAAACGTAAATCCGAAATTTAAATAGTTGTCATTATACTTACGACGCTTTACTGTTTTGTCATTAATTGTTGATGAAGACGGTAACGACAAATTAGTGGAGCCATCAGTGCTCGTGTTAACCGTAGTTGAAACTTTTTTAATTATAAATTTGTCCATACTTAATGTACCTTTTTTAATATGGTATGTATAAGAAAATATGAAAATATAACGAAATTACACAGACACAATGCGCACAACACGGTGATCACGAATGAGAATAGTGAGAACGTGCTTATTTACGTACCTAAATATACACATAATGCCAATTTACTATTTATCTGCAGACTGCAGTTATGATTACGTCGAAATCATTACGAGGTAAGAATATCTTCATAATTGTTTTTTTTATCTCTGGGTTTTACTATTTCATCATAATGCTGAAATAATATCATATATTATGTCAAATGAAATTATATGTAATGTATTAATATATAAATAATATAATATTTTGGCGACACACACCATGGTAATACGCGACACACCGGTTGAGAACCACTGGTTTAGACGTATACGATTAAATAAGGTAGAGGAATAATGTATTTTCATCAATACGTTTAAAATCTCTCCTTTACGCCCACATCGTCCTACCTGGGAGGTTTAAACGCGTTTAACTGGATTTTCAATGGTGATCGCTTGAGAAATCGAGCGCTCGATTCGACTTAAACTTTTTTGCGTACTAAACAGCACAACGCCTTCGACGTCAGGAGGTATGACAATCCGCCGTAGGCGGATTGCCCTGTCAGGAATCGATATTCACTGGACGATGACTGATAACTAGACACTTGATCAACCTTTCGGAGTGTATATTTATTTATTTTCCATATTCAAAAACACCGGGCAAGCTACGCGGATTGCCCAGTCGAGTAACGACAAGCACCAGGTAATGACTGATAGCTAGACATTTAATAACCATTTCGGAATGTATTTATTTATTTTCCATGCACAAAAGCACAGGGCAAACTACGCGGATTGCCCAGTCGAGTAACGACAAGCACCGGGTAATGACTGATAGCTAGACATTTAATTACCATTTCGGAATGTATTTATTTATTTTCCATGCACAAAAGCACAGGGCAAGCTACGGGACAAGGTGTATTACACCTGTAAATTTAATGAAATAACCCACCACTAAACGTTCGAATTGGACTTTTATATACTTTTATTATATTATAAGATTATTATTTACGCGTTTAAAACGACACCGCCAAAGTGTAGAGCCACCAAATCAAAGGTACCAACATGTCAAACAGCGTTATCACTGGTTTTGTCTACTAGACTTTTCTAACTGCTGTATTCTTAAGTCCTGTCTCCGACCTAGGAAATTCACTTCAAACGATATTCAGCTACCTAGGGTACTCACATACAGCGAGTTTTACCGACCTAGGGTATTCACATACAGCGAGTTTTACCGACCTAGGGTATTCACTTACAGCGAGTTTCACCGGTGCTAGTAATAATATAAAATATTAATAAATATAAAATAATGAAATTTGCGCGGAAATTCAAATGAACCAATCAGAAGTCCCAATTGGTTTATAGGTGCCGAGACCGTACACAGAATGCTAATATGCCAACCGGTTCGCGTAATCACGAGTGTGACGAACTTTTCGGTGACCCCCTTCCACGATTATTACAATTTACAGCCTTTCGACACCGCGCTCACCCATCATATAGTCCAGCGTTTCCCAAACTGTGGTCTGCGCACGTATACCGGAGGGGGTCTGCGAACGTAAATAATTAAAAATACACAAAGTACCTATCTATAAAAATGAAAATACTGATGTTAATATTCGTATTACGTGGGAAATTCTGTTATAAAAAATACATTGTCGAGATAGTTATCGTTTAAAAGCTATTAAGATTAAAACTGTGTCTAATCTTAATTGCTTTTCAAGCAACAGAATCGCGTCGGTCAAAAAATCGATTGTTAGTTTGTTTGTTGCAGCCGACTTTATATAGTGTTGAATACTTTCAGTTTATTTTTATTACTAAATAATATTACGTACAAATTTTCGTTTTTTTAATTTAACTAATTTTTTTATAATGAAACGCTGGTTATAAAATAACACCACTATGAGCGAAGAAAATTAAGGAGCTTCATGTTTTAAAAATAGATCAACACATGGTAATAAACGTCGTAAGTTTTCAGAAGAATACATAACTTTTGGTTTCACAAGTATAAATGTAAACAACGATAAAAGACCACTCTTGCGTGCCAATATCAGATCTAAGACCAGGGTGTTATTTAAATGAAAATTACAACTTTTAAGATCAGTAATGTGTTTATTATGTATAAATAAAGTTCATGTAACTGATACAAAAAGTGGTTGAGTGTCGTGAAGGTGCTTAGGTCTCTGTGGCTCTAGTACATCTGCTATTGCTGATCTCTGGGCTCCCTATATATGAAGAAGCTTCTTGTTATTGTAGTCCATAGCCTTTCATTTCTTATTTATTCTTGGAATTGTTTTGATACTTGTTTTTGGTAATAACAATCTCCAAGATGTAATCTGTTCCTAATTGCCAACTCGTGTAAACGCAATAATGTATTTCACTCGACCTCGGCACACGCAATGTACTATTGCGATGTTTATTATGATGTTTTTGAAAGTAGAAAATGCACTCTAATCCTAATGCAACAAGATTCATAAAAGTATGTATCTAATATCTCGTGTTATGATCATTAATAATAAATCTAATTTTCCGAAACGTGAAAAAATCATGCCAATACTTATAACAATATTACATATTATATCATACACACTTATATTTAACAATATCTTAAAACGAAATCAGCTGAATTAGAACAAAGTAAAAAAATAATTAAAAAGACTACAATTGGAACTAATGATGAAAGATCTGTAACAGCATCTTATCAAATATCTTTACTTGTTGCAAAAAGTTGCAAACCACATTCAATCGCTGAAGAATTGATCTCACCAGCTACTAAAATAATGGTTTCTACTATGTTAGGAGATTAAGCATCGAATGAATTAAGTACGGTTTCTTTATCAAACAATACGGTTAAGAACAGAATTGTTGAAATGTCGGAAAATGTCAAAGAACAGCTAATTTTATTAGCTTTTATAAAGCTTTTTAAAGAATTTTATTCTTAGCAATTAGAATAATAAATTAGATGAAAGCACAGACATTTGCAATGACGCAAATTTACTTGCATATATCCGTTATGATAATCATAATATTACTGAGGATTTTTTATTTTGCGTATCTCGACCTTCCAATAATACATGTGAGGAAATATTTAATGTATTAAATAGTTTTATAATAAGTTAGGTTAGGTCTGATACTAGGTTAGGCCTGCATGCTCGTTTAAAAACAATAAATTCGTCTATTATTTGGCATCATTGCTGTATTCGTAGAGAAGCTTTAGCTTCAAAAAATATGCCACAAAAATTAAATGAAGTTTTACGTGATATTGTGCAAGTTGTTAATTTAATAAAAGCTAGATCTCTGAATTCTAGAATTTTTAATTTAATATGTGAAGATATGGGAAGCATACACAAGCAGTTGCTATTGCACACCGAAGTACACTGGTTATCGCGTGGTAAAGTTGTGTCACGTGTTTTTGAATTAAAAAATGAAATTAGAATTTTTTTTTTTTTTTTGAATAACCCTACGGGAACTACTAAATATGTTACTAATTTCAATAATTTTAAATGGCTTTGTACAGTGGCATATTTAGCTGATATTTTTAATTCTCTGAACTCGTTAAATATGCATTTACAAGAGAAAGAAGATAATATTTTCCGCGCGGAGGATTACATTGAACCCATGTAAAAAAAATTGAGTTATGGAGAAAACGTTCACTTCAAAACAATTATAAACACTTTCTAACTATTTATGCATTTTTACAATCATCAGATGTAGTTTTCTCTCAGGACGTAAAAAATATAATTATTGAACACCTTCAAATTTTGAAATGCTCATTTCGAAAATATTTTCCAGTTCCTGACAAAAATAAAAATTGGGTAATAGACCCTTTAAATGCAGATGTACTCGAAATTACTGGTTTAACAACAACACAAGAAAATCAATTAATCGATATATTCAGCAATTCTAGTTTAAGAAGGATTTTCAAGGAATCTTCTTTGTCTTCTTCTTTTTGGTTGAGTTTAAGACAAAATAATCTAGAAATATCGGAAGCAGCAATAAGACCATTGATACTTTTTTCAACAACTTATCTCTGTGAAAAAGGATTTTCTACTTATGAGTATACTAAAAATAAATATATAAATCGATTAAATATAGAATCAGATTTACGCATTCAACTTTCTAATATAGATCCTAAAATATAAGATTTAGTATCAAAAAAACAACACCATCTATCACATTGAATTAATTATTTATTATACGAATAATATCTCTATATGTAGGGGCTCATATATATATATTATAATATAATGTAATGTAACGTCAGGAGTTAAACAATAAAATAATATACAAAATAATTGACAATTAGTTATTAAATATATTAATTATTAATTTGTGACCGATACGTAAACAACATAATATAGAACATTAGAATCACAATACTTCACAACTAATTATATAAAACAATTTAGATCAGCGGTTCTCAAACTGTGGTACACGTACCACTAGTGGTACGCGAAAAGAATTTATATATGTATTTCAGTAATGGAAAATAAAATAAATTGAAGATGATTTTAATGAAGATTTGCAACGTCAGTGAAGTTTTTATCAGAGGTAAAAGTGTTGATATCGGGAATAATGTTTAATAAATATATATTTCAAAATTATTTACGCAAAAAGTAGCCATGTATATAAATTAGATTATTTATAATAGTATCTAGAATTATTGTATCAGACAAATATTTCTCTTCAGCCGTTTAGTTGTAGATTGTTGGTGTTAGTCAATACAGCTCGAGTTTGTCCTTTGAACTGTTGATACTATCATTGATAGTTTGTAAATTATTTATATCAAATTATAAAATAGTGAAAAAATGGAATGCAATAGAGCAAAGATGCAATTGTCTCGTCTGAAAATGTTAGTAAGTTCTTTGCTTAAAGTTGAGAGCGTAAGTCAGATGGTGAATAATCCCTAGAAGGAAAAGGAATCGTTTAAGGAAATCACTGGCTAGTACATTAATATTGGATTCACGGTCATAGACGGTTAAGGAGCATCGATCTCATTTAGTGTTATCTGTTTGAATTTTTCTAAGCAGGTATTGAAACCGTCCTTATTAAACGTCACTTTCTATTCAAAACACTTCGATGTTAGAAACAAACCAATGACTACTGGTTCGAAAATTGTCGAGATGAAAAGCATCAAAGAAAATTATATATTCTTTAGCGGTAGTACTGAAAGAAGCGTACATTTTCTTAGGAGCTAGAATAGCGAAGGTGGAAAACCGGTCACTTATCCGGAAGAACGATTAGCAGGCACAGCGGTATCAGGATTAAAACTTGTATGTTAGTGTTCCGTCGAGCTAAAAACTTGATATGATATCACTGTTCAAATGATAAGCGCCGCAGGATTGAGTACAGTATATTAAACGCTTAAAGAAAATTATCGATCAAGTGAAAGTGATGTTTCACATCAAAGTATACCAGATTCAAACTGACTTGTTATATTAGGCAGTATCAAACCGTAATTGAAGAGGTTTATTTGTGGCTACAACATGAACCTACCGCTGACGAAATATTTAAAAGACAATTACTTTGTTGAAATGGATTAAACTTCGAAGAATGTGTGCTTCTGTTCTGACGAAACATATGACAGGCAAACGATAAAGCAGACAAAGAAGCTGAACAGATTTATTGGCAACCAGGCGCTTTATGAAATGGTTGCAACCATTATTTAAACCAGAACTATAGTCATAACAGAAGTTACTCATAACTGGCCTGTCTGCTTTGCTGGCAAACCAACGAACAGCATCGACTAATTGCTTACATGAAGATGATACTGAGGAAGACGCTGAAGATATTGAACGATCTGTTCATCCGAGCAACGAACAAAGAGTGT